GCCGTCTTCTCCACGCATTTCATTCAGTATCCTACCGCGCAAGCAGGGCCTAGTTGGCTTAGCCAACTCGGGCACCCGGCTAAGCTGACCGAGAGGGGGGGGGGGCAAGTCGGCTACGGCTCGCCGTCTTCTCCGTGCATTTCATTCAGTATTCTACCGCGCCATTTGACCTCCAACATGTCCATGATGTTTATAATTTGTTCATGGTGCCCAAAACCACCTTGGGACATTTTTGAGTGGCAACATTTGCCCCCCTGTTTTCCGGTGAATGATGTATGTGTTGGCGGTTCTTAACTCACATTTCTACCGCCAACATTTTTAACAAAATAAAAACAAATATGAATGCCAAATCTTAGAATAGGGCTTATATACTCACATTCTCCACAAGTTTTGGTATGAAAATGTTTTGCAGGGCCAGATGTGGAAGCACACTAAAATGCGCATTTCAGAAGACGTATTTGTGCAAAATAAGAGCAAAGCGCATCCAAACAACAAAACTGGGCCAGAACACCAACCCAGCCAGCAGCCCACCAGAGCAAGGCGGTGGTGATTGGGCTAGCCCAGGGGTGCGGCCGCAGCGCCCCCAGCGCCGCCCGGTCCCACCTTGCTCTGGCGGTATCATCAATGCACGTGGAGGCAATTGCATGCGGTGTTTCCTAAAATACATGCTCAAACCGACCATCTCCACACTATATAAGAAGACCCCCTCCTCACAATTGAAGAAGTCATACACATTTGGAGAAGAAGAAGAGGGCTACACTCCATTCCAATAGCTTCTAGCTAGTTTAGTAGGGAGTAAGAGAGGGAAAGAGTTGGAGGAATAGCGGAGTAGCGGTATCCTCTACCTCGTGTACTCGGTGAACCTTGTACCTCGGGTGGATGGAGTGCCGAACTTGTCGGCTACCCTCTACAGTTGTACCTCTATGATTATCTTACTACTTGGAGTAAAAAGTTCGTGTTCATCTTTCGGTTTGATTCTTTAAGTTAAGTTATCATTGTTACTATTTACTTGCGGGATCGTCGTTCGTCCTCGTGACGGATGCTCTAGTAGAGGACTCCTGATAAAGACGGAAGCTCCTAGCCAACGCTAGAGTAGTAACGGTTAGCGTAGACGTGGTGTCTAAGCTACACGTTACCTTCGTTTACTCCGTATCCCATGGTAGTGGGGTAGGCGGCATGTGGTGATAGCCCTGTCCGTCCTTAGTACTCCCCCATGTTCGGATACAGCGTAGAGCCGTAGGCCGGCAACTCCTGGCAGACCAGGGTTCACCGGTGCCAGAAGTAAGTCGGTAGTAGCAAAGTTATCTTAGCTTAAGGCGTCTACCTTTAGAAGAACCTCACTACCCAAGTTTCCCTTAGCTTGTTCTCCTAGGTAAACTAGCGAAGAGACTACTTACAAAAATCGTTCCTTTGGAAAAATACGATACCCTAAATACTTCTGGGTGAAGTGCTACAACGGTACTTCTGTACGCTTGTGGACTTTTCTGCTTACGCTAAGAAGCACCAACAATGTGAACCGGAAAACACTTAATCAAACAGAATAAAACCAAACAGCGACGATACCTATCTCATCGGCTGCTCAGCAACTAACGGCGATGTATACATCGGCCATTTTTGTTCTAAGGGCGATATATGTATCGACCATTGTTTGGAGAGCACTTAGTGTACCTGCCAAACACTTGGAAAGTACTTTTTCAAATACCTCCCGTTGATTGCTCTTGTGAGACGTTCACCTTACAATGTCGTTAGCAGATAAGAATTTCCGAATATGACTTTGATCACTTTGTAACGACCCTCCCAATTTGGTGACCACATGCTAAACTGATTGCTCTTCGATCCAATCGGAAGTATGGTTTTCTACACTAATTCTTTCACTTGGAAGGATTTGCTCTTGACTTTCTTGTTGTATGCCTTAGCAACTCGAGCCTTGTGTTTCTCTATTTCCTTGAGAGCTTTCAATCTTGTATCAGTCACCTCATCGATATTATACATCATCAAATCATGATACATATCAGCAGATAAATCATTTTGTTTAGCAAGTCTATATGCATCCAAATTTACTTTGACGGGTAACATGGCCTCTTGACCATGTACCAACTCAAAAGGAATAACTTTTGCAGCACCACGCCTTGAAATATGGTGTGCCCATTGAGCTTCAGACAAAACTTCATGCCACCTCTTTGGATTTTCCTCAATATTCTTTTTGATAAGCTTGATCAAAGTCTTATTACTAGACTCAGCTTGGCCATTAGCTTGAGCATAGTATGGAGATAAATTGAGCAACTTAATCTTATATAATTCGGCAAATTCCCTCACCTCCTTAGACACAAATGATATCCCTTGATATGTAGTTAATGTTTGAGGGATGCCGAATCTATGGATAATATGCTCAATGATGTACTCAATTACCACCTTGTGTCATATTCTTCAAAGGAACTGCTTCGGTCCACTTAGTAAAGTAATCCATAGCAACCAACACAAAGATGGGGAATGAATTTGGCCAATGAAGTCTAACCCCCAACCATGGAAAGGCCATGGTTTGATGATAGGATGAAGCATAGCAGCAGGCACAAGCTAAATATTTCCAAACTTCTAGCACTCTTCGCATACTTTGTAGTAACAAAAGCAATCAACCATTATAGTAGACCAACAGAAACCGGTTCTACGCAATAACCATTTCATCTTCGGGGCTGATTGATGCGTAGCACAAATGCCTTCATGGACTTCTCCGATAGCCACTCTTGCTTGATTAGATCCCAAGCAATTAGGCAACAAATCTTCGGCGGTTCTCCGATAGAGCTCATCATTATGCAACGCATACTTGAAAGTGCTCCGCCGAACACTTTTATCAATTTTAGCACTTGGATCACGTAAATATCTCAGCAAGGGAGTTCTCCAATCTTCTAAATCGGCCCCAACATCACTGGAAGTTATCTCGGGCCAATTTCGGAGCTTCTCGGGCGAATTAACCGGGCTGGCTAAGGCCAGGCATCCCCAAGCTCCGTGCGCCGGCAACCCGACGGCCGCGCTCCGGCCCGGCGTGGTTTCCTCCACACCAGAACTAGGCGGCTGCGCCACGGGCTCCAACTCCTAGCCCGACGGCCGGCCACGCCCGCACACCTCGGCCTGGCGTCTCATTCTCCACACCCGTGGCCGTGCCGGGGCTCCTTCTCTGCGCCCGACGGATCTGAGCAGGGACCAGGCGGAAGCCACATTTTTCCAGCTCGATCCTTCTCCCACCTCTACCTTCTCTCAGTCTCAGCGCGATTTACGGGACTTCTCTCGTGAAGCCGGAGCATTCATTTGAAGGCGTTTGGTTGGGACGGTGAAGAAGCTGTTGGTGAAGCTGAGGTTCAAATGCTACCAAACGCACCCGGTGTAAGATACTAAGATGACACAACCCTCTCTCGCTTCGCCAGCTTCGGCATCTCCGCTTTCCTTTCTTCTTTGCTAATCCACTGATTTTTTTCCCTCCTCTCCCAACAAACTAACCACAGGTGAGCATGACCTCCGATACTAGCAAGGCATGAATCAGATCTACGTACTACTACTCATCTCCCAACGCACTCCATATTCTTCTTACAAGAGCCCACATCTCAAATCATTACCATAAATCAGGTGATGTGCTTACATGCTTTGCTTTGAAAGCAATTGTGGCAACCTGATCACCATCTTGTTTTCTTTATCTCCAACACAGTTCGCACTTTGCAGTCGTCAGCACTTGATTGGCATCAAGCTAGCACACAAAGAGGTAATCACAAACAAGACATATCACCAAACATCAGTGTTGTATTTGTTTGCTACTGTATTTTACAGTTTTATTACTACTTTGTTATATGGTGCATGTCCGCTTTCCTTTTTCGTCTTTAATTACTAGTTACTAGTTATCTGATTTAATTTTTTCTCCCAACAAACCACGTACAGGTGACTAGGTGAGGTGAGCGTGCCCTGTCCTCGACATTGATCCTGGTAGCGAGTCATACATACTAAGGCCTCATTCGGTTATCCAGGAATGATACCCTGGAATAATTCCCAGCCAGAATGGTTCACTAATTTGTATAACCTTGATCAGCTGGAATGGTTCTTGGGCCCATTCCACCCTAACCGAACGAGGGCTAAACCAGATCTGCTACACATCTCCAACACAGTTCGCAGGCAGCACTTGGTTGACAACTAACAGGCACATAAAAAAAGGTAATTAATCAAACAGTAATACATAAACCAAGCATCAGTATATCCTGTCGTGTTGTAATTTTTCACAGTTGCTATTACTTTGTTTTCTGTTAAAGGTCGCCAAGTATTCTCTGCTTTAACCATAGCACTGCTCTTGTTGTTGTATTAATTTGTAGATGGGGTAGTCTGGATTGCTGAGGTGTATACTATTCTGGTTACCTAATGATTAGCAAAGGGATTTTCAGAGGACGGAATGGTTTCATCCCCTTCTGTCTTCTGTCAATCTCCTTTGTTTTTATATTTTCTTCCTGTACATCTCAATAAGGGGTCAGTCCATCTCCCCTAAAATTTTATTTCCCTTTTTGTTCTCTCACAAGTAATTCTCAGTTGCTTGCTCTTGCATTTTTCGTGGTTGCTCACTTGCTCTGTTTTCATCCTATGGAGGAGTTTAGAACTCTTATCAATAATTATTATACATCTGGACACTGCATATACTTTATTTTTTTCTTTCTGGTAACCATGTGAATGTTTTTTTTTTATAATATATGACTGTTACACTTGTACATAGGGGTTCTTTTGAACTATCTTTAGTACAAAATGTGATTTATCTAGAAGTTGCCATTTTTATTCTATACAAGAATTCTCTCTTTAGTGTTTATTCCCTCACACTCTTATATTGATTCATTCAAAACAGCTCGTGTCAGTTTGCTAGCCCACAAGAGCGCTTGTTTCTTGTTCTGCTGTATGCTTTTTGTGAGAAATTAATTGTTTCGCAAGTTGGAGCACCCACATTTGTTTTCCCTATAAAAGTGCTTGAGTAATCAGGAATGGATAGTGGAGCTACTAAACGTGAAATATTGGGGAAAAAATTGGAGAAAAGGCTGCAGGATCCAAAAACAGAACCATTAATATCTTTGCCTCTAGATTTTTTGGAGGGCATCACATGCGGTTTTTCCACTGAACGAGAACTTGGCAGGGGTTTGAGTGGAGTCGTGTACAAGGTATATGACTATTCCTCTTTCACTCCAATTTTAAACTGATGGCAACAGAAAGATAATAAATGTATTTTTGATGCTATGAAGGGGATTCTCCGGAGCGGCAAAGCTATTGCTGTAAAGAAGATTTTTTATGCTCATCTGCAGGGCAATGATAATCAAGTGGAGAATGAGATCATTTATCTTACGGAGGTCAGGCACCAAAATGTCGTACAACTAGTAGGTTACTGTGTCCAAACCAAGTCGGAAGTGATGGAACATAGTGGGAAACATGTTATGGTTGAAAAACGTGCATGTTTGCTCTGCTTTGAATTTCTTTGTAATGGAAGCCTTGACAAGCATCTTTCTGGTACGTTGAAATACATACTAAGATCTTCTGTCTTTTTTTTCCTTTCCAAAGTTTACCTGATTAGAAGTTTAGAACACACATGCAAATGTGTCATTATATCAACAGCCACAGAGTGATAAATTCAATTATATAGTTTCTCTGTTTGTTGATATATTTCTACAGATGACACCTTGGGCCTTGATTGGGATATAAGATATGAGATAATTAGGGGAGTTTGCAGAGGTCTGCATTATCTTCACGATGAATGTCATATTGTTCACCTCGACCTGAAACCTCAAAACATACTGATGGATGCCATGATGCTGCCGAAAATTGCGGATTTTGGTTTGTCTTGGCTTTTGGGTGAACAAAAATCCAAAACTGTCACTAAAAACCTTGCAGGAACGCCGTAAGCTAGCTATGCTTCTTTCCAGAGCTTCATATTTTCTACTATTTTCTACAGCTGATTATGCAAATTCTTCTACAGTGGATATATGGCCAAAGAATACATAGACCACGGAATTATCTCCCGTAAGGCAGATATATTCAGTTTGGGTGTCATAATCATAGACCATACTGTAATTTTCTACCTTACTTAAGCAAATGTCTTTTTATGATAAATTACTTATGCAAATGTTTAGGTGGTTGGAAGTTGGAGGAACAGACTTATAGAAATAACACCCATGCATGTCACCAGAAATGCGTATCCAACAAGTGCAACAATGCATCTCTATAGCCCTGAAGTGCCTAGAACCTGAGTCGAATAAAAGGCCTACTTCATTGGACATAGTTCAAAGTCTAAATGCAGTAGAACCAAAATGTACGTCTCCTGGAAATTCCCCCAGTGTCGTTGAGAAGGTATGATTTCTCAATATGCACTCCGCCTCTCCACACTTAATATCATAAGACTATCCAGATTAATATGCATGTCTGAACAAAATAATCGCTAGTGCTCCATTTTTCTTATCTTAATTAGTGTCCTCTTATAGTTGTAGTGCATTATCTATGTCTGTTGTTCGAAATTAGCCTGCACAGTGACAAGTTATTCACTAATCTCCATGTGCGGAGGCATCAATTGGATTTACCGAGATGAACATGCAAGATCGATCACATATGACACTAGCGGCTTGATTTTTGTTGACGAGGTCTAGTCGGGAGCCCCCGAGTACCGATTGGCGCCCTCCGTCTTGGGATTCCAGTTGGCTGGAGCGCCCCTAAGTCGCGAGTGCCGTAAGGTAATTGGCTTGGCTTAACCTGTCTTTGAGTGCTGATTGTTAGACAGATATGTTGGCCTACCATAGGCGCCTGGGCTTTAAGCCCATCATGGTTTCTATAGATTGATTCTACTCATAATAGGCAAGAATATCCGATAGTGGTCCTGTTTCCATAAACCACCCTAGGCCATCCTTGCTTATATATGTACATGTATACCATGGCCTATAATCAATCTACTATTTTCCCGTGCAATTAAATTACTTTCACTGATAATAGGGTTGGTGAGGATATCTAGGGTTTATGCACTCATCAATCATATTATTTTTCTATGAAAAAAATGTAACATATTTGACGTCTTAACTGCAATATCCTATTTGTACCTTTTATACTAACATTGAAAATCTGACCACAAGATATAATGCTCTAATGCTCAATACATCCACTGTTTGTCCAGGATAGGAGAAACTGGAATCTTCAGAGTCAAGTAAATGTGAACATAATCAACATACCAAAGACCACCAGTGCCATTAACGGCCTGAATGAGTGCGCCAATTTGTTCCAGTGGGTTACATCGGCCATTTCATCTCCAAAACCTCAGCTGAATGAAACACAAAAGGAGAGACTTCAACGAGATATATGTCAATTGCATAGTGACCTTCAATGCCTAACTGATACTCTACCAGCAATTGACAACCTCATTGATCGAGCAGAGTGGAGGATCCATCATGATTCTGTGGCTGACCTCCTTTCAAGACTCAAAGATGCAGTGTATGATGCAGAAGACCTTCTCGATGAGTTTAGATGGTATGAGAAAAAGGTTTCTGTAGAGAGCAATGCTATCGCAGTGGAACCAGTTATTAAATTCTTTCAAAGTGTCACTCAAGGTAACTTCAACAAGGTGACTGGTATCCAGAAGAGGCTCGATAATCTCTCCAAACAGCTTGAGAAACAGGGCTTACTTCCAGCAATTCCAAAGTTTGACAAATCATCTAGGCCCGAGACCTCCTTTTTCTCCACTGAAGCAAAGATGATTGGTCGTGATGAGGAAAAGAAGAAGCTGATCATGTTACTTGGTGTACCAACAAATAAAAGCTCAGGTCGTTCCGGATGCAAGAGAAAAAGAAGAGTCAGTTCATCAACAAGCAACCAAGTTTGTGCTACTATTGATAGTAACGAAGCAACAATAGTGAGTGTTCGAGTTTTGCCAATTGTTGGAATTGGGGGTGCTGGAAAAACCACCTTGGCTCAAGATATTTGCAACCATTCAAAAGTGAAAGGTCACTTTGACCTGATAATTTGGATTTGTGTATCGGATTATTTTGATGTCAAGAGGTTAACTAAAGAAGCCATAGAACAAACTTCTGGGGAAGTGCTAGAAAATGGTAACTTGAATTCTCTCCAGCTTGCTCTTGCAAATAGCGTGAACAAGAAAAGATTCTTGATTGTCCTTGATGACATGTGGGATGAAAATGAGGAGCATTGGAAGCACTTCTGTGCACCTTTTAAAAATGCACTTCAGGGAAGCATGATGCTTGTCACCACTAGGTCTCCGAAGGTTGCTGATGTAGTGCGTACAATGGATTCCTTTCCCTTAGAGGGTTTGAAAGATGATGTCTTTCGGAAGTTCTTTAAGTCCTGTGTGTTTGGGCCTAATAGCTCCAACATTGATCCTAAGTTGGAACGGATTGGTGAGAAAATACTCCCAAAGTTGAGAGGCTCTCCTTTAGCTGCAAAAACTCTAGGACGGCTGTTAGGAATGAGCCTTGAGCTAGCACATTGGGATAGGATTCTCAAGAGTCAGCTGTGGGAGCTTCAACAAAAGGAGACTGACATTTTGCCGGCTCTTCGGTTGAGCTACATGTATTTACCATTGTATTTAAAGAGATGCTTCTCATTCTGTGCTGTGTACCCGAAAGATTACATATTCAAAAAGGAGGATTTAGTGGAGATTTGGGTGGCAGAAGGCTTAGTGGAACATCACACTGGTGGTCAGTACTTTGAAGAACTTGCACATCTGTCATTTTTTCAGAAATATCCACGGTCCCACAAGAAATATGTAATACATGATTTGATGCATGACATGGCACAACTGGTTTCAAAGGACGAGTGCTTTATAGTAAAAGAAAAAAAATGATATTCCTAAGATCCCTCAGAATGTCCGCCATCTGTCAGTGGTCAAAGGCATTCAGTGTTCTGACTTATTGAAGAATGACATGGCACGGCTTAGAAAGCTGCGCACCCTATTTTGCCACCTGTCTTTAAAGAGTGAAGCTGATAATACTGTGATGGAGAAATGGTGTAATGAACTTTTGTGCATGCGTGTCATGGTCTGTTCTATCTCTAAGTGGGGCTTACCAGGTAATATTAGCAACATGAAGCTACTTCGGTACCTTCAACTTCAAATCCTCGACTCTAGCCTTTGCAAGAGCCTTCCTTCAGCATTCTGTTGCCTCTATAATATGCAAATATTTAATGCTACGAAATGGAGCATTGATGACATTCCTAGCGGCTTTGGTATGCTGATCAATCTGCAGAAATTTGAATCAGTGAAATGTCAATTTCATCATATACATCCAGTTGGTACTCTTAAAGGTGCAACTGACCAAGGACAGAAGAGTCAATTTGAGCTCAAAAACTATAATGGTGATTCTCTCCCAAACTCAGAGCAGGTTCACAGTTACGACAGCACTAATAGCACTCTCTTGTCCGTGACTGATGTAGTCATTCACAGTTGCCAAAACTTATCAAGCCTCGAACAATTTCTACAGCCAGGTTATGTACCTACCATAAAAAAAATAGAAATTTCAGATTGTGGAAGTTTAGAATCAGTACCAGCTGATAGGTTTGGAGATTTGCATTTCCTTGAAGTACTGAGTGTGTCCAAGTGTCCAAATATAAAATCACGACGCCTGTTTGCTCCATCCCTAAAGAAGCTGTATCTGGAAGATTCTGGGGATCTTGGACACAAGATTGAGTGTAGTTCTCTCACCATCTTGCATTTATTAAATTGCCCTCTTGAATCCATTGAACTGCAAATGCGCAATCTCCCGTTACTGCAGGAGCTCGAGATCAGTTCTTGTCCCTCTCTGACAGTTATTATAGATTCAGAACCTATATCCTGTGACATTTTACAGGGCGAGGCCAGAAGCAGAGCCATTGATCACACTTTCGTGTCCCTGACTGATGTAGAAATTACAAATTGCAGCAACTTATCAAGCCAGGAACAATTTCTACAACCAGTTTATATGCCTATCATCATGGAAATAAAAAATTCCAATTGCCGAAACTTAGAATCGGTACCAACAGATAGGTTTGGAGATTTTCGTTTCCTTGAAGTACTGAGTGTGTCCCATTGTCCAAAGATCAAATCACGACACCTGTTTGCTCCATCCCTAAAGAAGCTGTATCTCGAAGACTCTGGGGATCTCGGATACAAGATTGAGTGTAGTTCTCTCACCATCATGCATTTATCAAATTGCCCTCTTGAATCCATTGAACTGCAAATGTGCAATCTCCGGTTACTGCAGGAGCTCAAGATCAGATCTTGTCCCTCTCTGACAGTTATTAGAGATTCAGAACCTATATCCTCTGACATTTTACATGGTGAGGCCAGAAGCAGAGCCATTGATAACACTGTCTTGTCCCTAACTGATGTTGAAATTACAGATTGCAGAAACTTATCAAGCCAGGAACAATTTCTACAGCCAGGTTATGTGCCTATCATCAAGAAAATAGAAATTTCAAATTGCAGAAGCTTAGCATCGGTACCAACTGAAAGATTTGTATACTTTCGTTTAATTGAAGTACTGAGTGTGTCCCATTGTCCAAAGATCAAATCAGAACACCTGTTTGCTCCATCCCTAAAGAAGCTGTATCTGGAAAACTTCGGGCATCTCGGATACAAGATTCAGTGTAGTTCTCTCACCATCTTGCATTTATCAAATTGCCCCCTTGAATCCATCGAACTGCAAATGTGGAATCTTCCATTACTACAGGAGCTCGAGATCAGTTCTTGCCCCTCTCTGACAATCATTAGAGGTTCAGAACATATATCCTCTGGCATTTTCCATGGTGAGGACAGAAATAGAACCACTGATAGCACTTTCAAGTCCCTGACTGATGTAGTCATTCACAGTTGCCAAAACTTATCAAGCCTCGAACAATTTCTACAGCCAGCTTATGTGCCTATCATCAAGAAAATAGAAATTTACTATTGCAGAAGTTTACAATCTGTACCAACAGATTTGTTTGGAGATTTGTGTTTCCTTGAAGTACTGCGTGTATCCCATTGTCCACTGATCAAATCAGAGCATCTGTTTGCCCCATCCCTAAAGGAGCTGTATCTGGTGAACTCTGGGAATCTCGGAGGCAACATTGAGTGTAGTTCTCTCACCATCTTGCAGTTATCAGACTGCCTCCTAGAAGCCATCGAACTGCAAGTGAGGAATCTTCCATTACTACAGAATCTTGAGATCATTCGTTGTTCTTCTTTGACAATTATTAGAGATTCAGAACCCATATCCACTGACCTTTTCCACGGTGGGGCCCAAAGGAGAATGGGAAAATTTCCCTTACTTGCCCACCTAACCATTGTCTCCTGCGAGAAGCTTAAAACTATAGATGACCTCCTATATCTCCCTGCCGTTGAGAGAATTTCGATTATGGATTGTGGCTTGCTGTCCCTGCTAGCTCATAGATTGGGAAGTTTTCCTCGTCTGAAAGATTTGAAGATTTCAGCCTGTCAAGGCCTCAACTGGCAGAGTGGAATGCTGTTAGCACGGTCTCTCCAACAGCTCACGTTATGGAATTGTGGGGATTTCTCTGCCTGGCTTCCAAGTTGCCTGGAGAACCTCACCTTCCTCGAGTCACTGGAGATTCGTGGCTGTGAATGTATAGTGTCTGTTCCTGGCCACCTGTGGAGCAGTAATCTCAGATCACTTCAAAGATTGATGTTTTATAGTTGTTCAAAGCTTAAATCTATTGGTGGACCAGGCGCAATTACACACATAAGAGATTTATGTATTGATGACTGTCCAGAGTTGAAGGAAATTGACCAGCCACTGAGGAGAGGCTCATTTTTGTAGATTGCTTGCAAAAGAAAGTGGGCTCGTGCTCTCTTTGTATGGTACGTATGCCACTTGTTTGCAGTATAAACTATGGTTACAGTTACAGAACTATGTTAGGACACTTGTGTCTGCTTCTATGTCATATTTATGTCTTAGCCAGTTATTTACTCAGGTTCACGAGTGTCATACATTTTCCGTTATAGTAGAATAATCTTTTTTCCCCCTCATAGTACGTGTTGTTTTCTTGATGACAGCAGGTGGCAATAGGATGGTTGAGATGGAGCAAATATGTGCAGTGCAGGGCTCCAAGACCCAACGAGAACAAACAGAACATTATATTTCTCTGTGAATGGGTGAATCCGGATGTTATGTGCACTGAATTGACCCAACGAAGACCCAACGAGAACAAACAAAACATATCACTTCTCCCTGAATGGACGAATCCGGTTCTTACGCTCTTACGACTGCAACATGACACAAAAAACCATTCATAGACTGTTTTTGTTATATGCCTAGTGTCATTCCGATCATTTTGCAATTCTTGTTTTCCTTGTGAAATAAGTGGGGCAGAACACAAACATGCATGGTTACTCCCTCGGTTAAGCACTTTTTTTATCTCAATAATGTGACTTAATGCACTATATTACAATCATATTCTACGATTGCAAGAGCTTCGCACGCTCCATTAGTTTTGTTGGGTGTGTTAGGTTTTTCTAATATTTACTGGAAAGGGGCCAGAGCTAGAGTAGACTCTGCGTCCCCTACATCTTGGAAACTGATTGAACATCTCCGTCTCTCCGCTAGAGTTTCCAGATCTATTTTAGAGGTCCGTTTGATGAGCACAAAAAAAAATTACGAAAGAGAACACACATGATGTTCTATCTAAGTTTCTATCAGATGAAAGCTTTCTAATTTAAGCAGGCCTAGACTTCTCCCTGTCTGTCCATACCAGATCGGGGAACTGCTATGCACAATAAAGGCTACGTGGAGCATTGGTAGATGACTAAATTCCATCGGTGGTTAATAAACTTGTCCTACGTTCGTATATAGATCCCGTACTCTTAAAATATAACCTTTTGGCACTCTAAAATTGGTAGACGATGGAGCTACCGATTATATTAAAAAGAAGAAACTCATACCAGGCAAAACAAAAAAGTAATGAAAACCCTAGAAGGGCTTGGCAATAACAAAAAGAAACAAACAATAAACTAAAAAACCTATGCTTCAGCCATACACAGCAGCACCTTAGCTCACGTGAGAATGGCTAAGATTGGGGCTGAGCCTTGGACCTATACTTTAGCGTGGGATAGACTAGGGGATTTCTTTAACCCTAGCCTAAAATTTCGCTTCAGCGGGGAGTCGAACCCAAAACCTAAGCAAGAGGCCCTTTCACAAACAATAAACTAGCACATTTTAAAAAAACAAATAACTAGCAAGTAAAACAACTGTAGACAACGGCCAGTTGGAGTGGAACAACACACACTGCCTCAACACAACTCTAAACTGCTACACCACTCTACAAACTGAGCCCTAAAGCACCACACCACCACACAACAATTACCATGCTACAGCAGTATCACTCGGATGACAAAGCCGTCGAGCCAACACACCATCTCCCTCACTTGTGCCGTTGTCATTGACGTTGTCCCACACCAATCCAACATCTGCCATGCAATGTTGGCCATCATAGTCCGCAGCAAGCCCAGTAGGTGATGTCACACCATCGATTCCGCTTGCGCCGCCTATCGGCGTTATCTAACACTAGACTAGCCATGCGATGCAAATCTAGCCGCCATAGTCCGCTGCAAGCTGCCAAACTGAAAACATGAGTACCTGCACCAATTATGTCCTTCGAGATCTGATTGTGTGCATTGTAGCTCTCAGCAACCTAGTCACTTCATTGAAGATGACTGAAATATCAGGGGTTGGTTTTGCTAGGGAGGCGGGGGTGTGTTATCTTCATAGCAGGGAGCAGGAGGCCTGATGATACATACCTGCGTAGAATCAGAAGCTGTTTTTCATAAACAGTCGCTTTCACGTAGAATGATTTTCGCATCATCTTAAACCTTGCTTTTTAGCTTTTCCAAATGAGTGAAAATGGAGAGATTTTTACAACTGTTTTAAGGGAGATAAAGAGAGATATATTTCATAGTTGTTTTAACATAGTGTAATGAATAGCCCGCTATGAACATTTAGCGCAGGGTTCTTCTAAGGCTAAGACGTGGCTATATATGGTGGGTTAAAACAGCTAAGTTAAATGTGAGTAAAAATAGCGGCATAATGGCTAAAACCACTATTGTTGGCTATAGCAGCACCTACCGCCGTCTATTTGTTTCCTTGTTTTAACCAAATAGTTTACAACTTTATCACATCATATAGCTCACAATAGTTTTTTTTACAACCCACAACAGCTTTTCACGCCTCACTATTGAACCAAACAGTTAAAGATAGCTTGTGCAATGGCGGCGAGGGTTAGGGTTTATTAGGGCTATGAGCGAAACATTTAACTTTTTTTTGAGCGATGAGCGAAACCTTTAATTGCCCATCCCCGCGACTTTCTCGCATGGGCCAAGCAGTCCAAAGTGACTACGGGCCCAAACCGAGATTGTTTTGGCCTGACAGCAGCTATCCTCTTTCTTTTAATTTCAACAATTGTCTATTTTATATTACAATTAAAAAAAACTCTCTAGATTACTGATATTGATATTTATTTTAACTGACCAATTTTTATTTCGCATGTTCTAGTGAGATGAACACACGCCTCCCGCCACATGGTCGAGATAGAAATATTGATATTTTGCTTCTTTTTATGTAAGGAAATGTTTGTTTCTATTCAATATTATGTTAGATTACATAATGATTAGAGAATGAATACTTTAGTTTACAATAACTTCACTCTTGAAGCATATGAAATTACTGAAATACAAAGTCCACGAGGATACACTCTACTGTTTACTGTTAAAGTAAGAGACCAAAATAGATAGCCGGAGGCACAGAAACATTTTTTTATATTAAATACTTAGTTTGGGCCCCCATATACAAGATTCTGCGCATCAGTTGAGAAAAGTTTAATAAAAAAAATGGTGTTTTTGGTTATGCAATTCTTTGTACTCTCATAATACAAAACATTAAATATTTATTTTGATTTTTGATTGAGCAAAATTAAAATGAATGGAAAAAACTAATCTAGCTAGTGAGAGATTGCAGTTTAGGAGCAACAGGTAAATGGAGAGGCAGGAAATGTGGAAAACAAACAATGAAGCAACAATGAAATTCACTCACTAAGCCCCTCTTGAAACACGGGAATTTTTTTCCGTTTTTGTATTTTTTTTCTAAAAAAATAAACTGAATCTTATCAAATTCCTATGAAATTCCCGTGTTCGAAAGGGTCTTAAATTATTGATTTTCAAAGCATGGAAGGCGCATCAAGTGAAGAGTTTTATCATAGCGATTCTGAGATGACAGCTCTAGCTAGCAAGAACAAGTGCTCTATTTCTTGCAACAGTAACAAGCTCGCAAAACAGGGGATTCCGCGCCGGCGCCGAGCTAGCCGGGTCCGTCGACTACCCCGGCGGCGCCAGAGAGAGCGGGGACCCCCGGACCTCGCTGTCCGGCCGGTGAACATACCAGGCTGCTAGTAGCTCCCTTAGTTGAGGACTAGTTTCCATGGGCCATGGAGGTCGATTTAGATCAGATCGGTCCAGTGTGGGGACTGGGGAGTTGTTTTGCTGCGAGATTCCTGGCCATCCGACCTGCCGGTGATGCGTTTCTTGGCGTGCTTTACAGTGCTGAAGCGCTCTACGGACGGCATGGGCGCCGTGTGGGTTCTGTACCTCGCTCCAAGACGGTCCTGGACTGGAGACGACCGCTGCGGCCGGCGGCGGCGACGACGTCGTTGCTGCTGTCAGATTCGGCGTCAACCTCACTCTTGCTTGGAGGTTTGTTTATTTCTCTTCCTATTTGCGAATTGGGTGGAGATTTGGTTGTCCCCTTTGATGATTGATGAGTAAAAAATGGTTTCTGTTTCTGCATCATTTCTAGTGGGCAATGGGATCCAATTCCAATGCTCGCAAAGTCGCAAAGTTGCAAGGTGGCAATTTCTTTAGCCTGAAAGTAAACTAATTCAGTGGAAATTAAATGATACACGGAAGACCGCACTAAGGCACTTCCAGGAAGCTTTACATAAAGCCTCCAGATAGAGTTCAGACACAAAAACGATCCATTAGCCACTAAGCCTGCCTCTCTGTTTTCCTCTTCTTTCGGCTTGTACTTTTTGTAAGCATCAGATGCTTGGCAGGTCACAGGGAATGTTTTAGCAGGACCATTGAAGCAAAGAAACATGTCCATCACCGCAATCGAGCCTGTAAACTGACAACTGTCGGTTCGGCCTTTTTCACTCTCTCTTTACTAGCTATACTATCTGGGTTTTCTCCCAACAAGCCACGTACAGATGAGCGTGCGCTAGCTCCTCGTCCTCTCTCATCTCTTTCTCTCTTCTCTCGCTGAAGCTTTTTGTAAAAAGCAGATGCATGGAAGCTCACAGGAAGTGTTGATGCATAACCATTGAAGTAACATGTAGATCCCCGTCGATCGAGCCTGTAAGTTGAGAACTCTCTTGCTTTGGCATTTCCACTTTCCTTTCGTCTTTACTAGTTATCTGATTTTTTTTTCTCCCAACAAACCACGTACAGGTGAGGTGAGCGTGCCCTCGATCCTGATAGCGAGCCATACTGAATAATATCTGCTACTCATCTCCAACACAGATCACAGGCAACACTTGGTTGACATCATCAGGCACATAAAAAGGTAATCAAGTACTAAGACGTAACCCAATAAGCATCAGTCATACATCCCGTCGTGTTGTATTTGTTTACTATTTTACAGTTGTTATTACTTTGTTTTTCTGTTAAAGGTCGCCAAGTATGCTCTGCTTTAACCATTGCACTGCTCTGGTTGTTATTAATTTGTAGATGGGGTAGTTTGGATTGCTGAGGCATACTGCTCTGGTTACCTAATCATTAGCAAAAAAAATTCTTGGGAGAGGATGGGAATGTATTCATCCCCTGCTGTCTTCTGGCAATCCCCTTTGTTGAAGCAGATCCTACCTGTGACCTATCCCGTCTTCATATTTTCTGTCTATACATCTCAATAAGGGGTCAGTCCATCTCTCCTAAAATTTTATTTCCATTTTTGTTCACTAGCAAGCAATGTCTCAGATGCTTGCTCTTGCCTTTTTCATGGTTGCTCACTTGCTCTGTTTTCATCCTATGGTGGAGTTTAGAACTCTTATCAATAATCATTATACATCTGGACACTGCATATACTTTATATTTTCTTTCTGGCATCCGAGTGATCTTTTTGTAATATATTACTGTTACACTTATACAGAGAATTTTTTGAATTATTTTTTAGTATCAAATGTGATTTATCTCGAAGTTGCCATTTTTATTCTCGACAAGAATTCTCTGTTTATTCCCTCATCCGTTTTTATATGCTTATACTGATTCATATAAAACAGCTCGTATCAATTTGCTAGCCCACAATAGCACTTATTTCTTATTCTACTGCATGCATTTGTGAGAAATTGTTTCGCAAGTTGGAGCACCCACATTTGATTTTTCTATAGAAGTGCTTGAGTAATCAGGAATGGGTAGTGGAGCTACTAAACGTGAAATATTGGAGAAAAAATTGGAGAAAAGGCTGCAGGATCCAAAAACAGAACCATTAATATCTTTGCCTCTAGATTTTTTGGAAGACATCACATGCGGTTTTTTCACTGAACGAGAACTTGGCAGGGGTGTGTGTGGAGTCGTATACAAGGTATATGACCATTCCTCTTTCACTCCAATTTTCAACCAATGGCAACAGAAAGATAATAAATGGTTAACCTACGTGCTATGAAGGGGGTTCTCCGGAGCGGCAAAGCTATTGCTGTAAAGAAGATTTTTGATACACATCTGCTGGGCAATGATAATCAAGTCAAGAATGAGATCCTTTGTCTTACGGAGGTCAAGCACCAAAATGTCGTACAACTTGTTGGTTACTGTGTCGAAACCAAGTTGGAAGTGGTGGAACATAGTGGGAAACATGTTATGGCTGAAAAACATGCATGTTTGCTGTGCTTTGAATTTCTCTGCAATGGAAGCCTTTACAAGCACCTTTCTGGTATGTTGAAATACAATACTAAGATCTTCTGTCTTTTTCTTTTCCTTTGCAAAGTTTACCTAATTAGAAGTTTAGAACACGCACGCAAATGTGTCATTATATCAACAGCCACATAGTGATAGATTCAATTATAGTTTCTCTTTTGTTGATCTATTTCTACAGATGACACCTCGGGCCTTGATTGGGACGAGAGATATAAGATAATTTGGGGAGTATGCAGAGGTTTGCATTATCTTCATGATAAACGTCGTATTGCTCACCGGGACCTTAAACCTCAAAATATACTGATGGATGACACGATGATGCCAAAAATTGCAGATTTTGATTTGTCAAGGCTTTTGAGTCAAGAAAAATCCAGAACTGTCACTGCAAAGCTTCACGGAACGCCGTAAGCTATGCCTCTTGCTGAAGCTTCATTTTTTACTATTTCCTACCACTAATTATGCTAAATTCTTCTGCAGTGGATATATGGCACCAGAATGCATAGAACAGCGATCTATCTCCTTTGAGGCAGATATATTCAGTTTGGGTGTCATAATCATAGAGATAATCACAGGTCGCAGGGACTATCGCAATATCAGCGAGACAACTGAAACATCTCTCAAGCACTATACAGATGAAGTAAGATTATTCAGTATTATTCCATACTGTAATTTTCTACCTTACTTATGCAAATGTCTCTTTATGATAAATTACTTATGCAAATGTTTAGGTGGTTGGAAGTTGGAGGAACAGACTTAGAGAAATAACACCCATGCGTATGTCACCGGAAATACGTATCCAACAAGTGCAACAATGCATCTCTATAGCCCTGAAGTGCCTGGAACCTGAGTCGAATAAAAGGCCTACTTCACTGGACATAGTTCAAAGTCTAAATGCAGTAGAACCAAAATGTACGTCTCCTGGAAATCCCCCAGCGTCATTGAGAAGGTATGATCTCAATATGCACTGCGCCTCTCCACACTTAATATCATAAGACTGTAATAACCACTCATGCTCCATTTTGTGATCTTAATTAGTGTCCTCTTATAGTTGTAGTGCATTATCTATATCTGTTGTTAGAAATTAGCTTGCATAGCGACAAGTTATTCACTAATCTCCGTGTGCGGAGGCATCAATTGGATTTACCAATATGTACATGCAAGATCAATCACATATGACACCAGTGGCTTGATATATATTTGTTGACGTGGTCCAGTCGGGAGCCCCCAAGTGTTGATTGGCGCCCTCCAACTTGGGATTCCAGTTGGCTGGAGCACCACTAAGTTTTTGAGCGAAAAATACAGCGGGTGAGGCCCCCACTGTGAGATTTTATTAAAAAGCAAAAGCCAGAAACTGTACAGAGGAGAAAGAACAACAAAAACAAAAACCACCCAAGAGGATGAGGGAGCCACTGGTCAGCTAAGAACTAAGAAAAGGAGTCTATACGAAGGAGGAAAACAAAGCGCTTGTCTTCAGGCATTCTAAGAGCTTGAAGTCTAGCCTCATCCAAAAAGGAGCATTTCCAGGAGGAGAAAGAGGGTCGTCCTCTGTCAAATATAAAGTTATTTCGCTGCTTCCATATGTGCCAGGCAGCAATGATGAAGATCTCCATAAAGAAGGGATTTTGATATTGCTGTTTGAACTGCATCATCATTTGGAAGAAATCACTTTGAAAGTTCCAGTGCATGTTCAAGTGTTGCCAGCAGGCCTGACTGAATGGACAGCTGAAGAAGAGGTGGAAAGCAGTTTCCTCAACATTCTGATTGTAGAGGATGCAGTTATAGTTATTGCCCTCCAACTTGTGCTTTTTCCTTTTAAGAAGGTTCTTTGTGTTTAGCCTATCCATAATCAGGAGTCAGGAGAAGACTTTAAGTTTGTTACTACATTTTGAGTCCCAGATCCACAGAAAAGGAGCAGGGGGCTGAACATTTCTGTAGGGGAAATTGTAGAATTTAGAAGATGTATAGCTGCTGCTTCCCCAAATATAGTGCCAAGAGTCTTTTGTATCTTGTTGAACCTGTATGATTGAATGTAGTCTTGCATTCTTTGATATTCTTGATAAGCTTGTTCGGACAGAGGAAGGTGGAATTGTGACTGGTGGTTGTTGTTTGAAAGGAACTGCAACACAGAAATCTTCTTGTTTTTGGCAAAAGAGAAAAGTCTTGGAAACTTGCTCTGCATGACATTGTCATTCCAAAGGTCTGACCAGAAAAGAACAGTAGATCCATCCCCGAGTTTGCAATTAGTGATTCCTCTGAAGAGATCACAATGTTTCAGGATATCCTTCCACCAAAAAGACCCTTTATCCATAGTTGCATGTGGGATGTCACCATTGGAGTAGTGAGCATGCCAAACAAGCTTGACCCAAGGAATCTCTTTCCTGTTGTAGAATTTGTCTAGGTGTTTAAGGAGTAGAGCAGAGTTTTGGCTTCTAAGATTGATGATACCGAGCCCTCCCTTTCTTTTTGGCTTGCTGCATTTTTCCAGTGCCACCAGAGGTTTCATTTTGGCATTGTTGTCGAGCCTCTCCAAAGGCAGTGTCTTCTTGCTCATCAATGTAATCTATAACTAAAATAGGCAAATTTGAAGAGTGCACATGGCATAGATAGGAAGAGAGGATGGGACTGAGTTCACTAGCTCTAGTCTTCCAAGCATGGGAGAGAAAATTTGAAGTGGTGTAAGTCTTCTTTCAACTTTGTTCATGATGAATCCAAAGTGCTCCACTCTCGGCTTGGTGGTGCCCATTGGCAATCCAAGGTATGTGAAGGGAGGATTCAGTTTGCATCCAAAAACCCCACCCGGTGATGAGCTTTCTCGAGAGAGAGATTTAGAGGCACCAAACAAGACTTTTTATAGTTAACTTGAAGCCAGGTTGATGTGAGAAAGATTCCAAAGCAATCATTTTAGAGTGAAAAGTTTCATTTGGGAAGCTTTCATGATGAGAATGGTGTCGTCCATATCTTGGATAATAGGATCCGAAATGTTTCATAGGAGGGGATAGGGAGATCAAATAGTCCTTCACTGTGACCTCTGTTAATAATGCAATGAAGGAGATCAGCAGCCAAAACAAAGAGAAGGGGAGAAAGAGGATCTCCCTGTCTCACTCCACGTCTGCATTGGAAGTGTTTTCCAGGCACTCCATTAAGAAGGATGGAAGAGGTTCCTGAATCAAGAATTCGTTGGATCCAGTCACACCAAGTATCATCAAAGCCTAGTTGTTTCATCATTTGAATGATCACATTATGTTCAATAGTATCAAAAGCTTTTGTAAAATCAAGCTTGAGAATAATGATTTCTTTCTTGGATTGTTGGCACTGATGAATATACTCATAGGTCCATGCCAAGCAGTCCTGGATTGTCCTGGATTTGATGAAGCCATACTGGTTGGTATGAATGAGTGATGTGATCTTGCCTTGGAGCCTGTTGGCTAGGAGCTTTGTGATAATTTTGAGGACATAGTTTAGAAGTGAGATGGGCCTGAAATCATTTACTGAGACAGGGTTGTTTGTCTTGGGAATCAGAGTGATGAAGGAATTGTTTATAGATTGCAAATCCAGGGTTCCATTGAAGAAGTCAAAGCAGAGGGTGTAGAAATCTCCTTTAATTGTTTCCCTGCAACTTTTGATGAAGTATCCATTAAAACCATCTAGACCTGGTGCTTTATCAGCAGGCATTTGTTTGACTATATTATTAATCTCCTCAATTGTGAAGGGTTTTGATAGCTGCCTTAGGTTGCTATTGGACTGGACCAGTTGACTTAAGTTGTATAGCATGTCAGGGCTAGTAGTGCACCCCATTCTTTGTTTGTATTCCTCAAGAAGCAGAGCAGATTTTTCACTGTGATCACACACAGATCTTCCATCTTCAGTTTCAGGGGAAGTGATGGTATTTATCCTGTATCTTTCGGTTGTAGCAGCATGAAATAATATTTTTGGTGCTTAAGGAGCTTGAGGATGTGGTTCTTCAAAATCTTCCTAAAATTGAATTCTTGAAGAAAAAGAGGCCTTTGCTCTTCTAGTGTATCTAGGATCCCCAGTGTAGAATTGCAGTTTTTTATCAGGCAACTGAGGTTAGAAAGACCTTTGCTCCACTTTTTCAGGGCAGCCCTTAAAAGTTTGAATTTGGCAGTGATTCTAGTAGCACTATTAGTTGCTGAGACATTGGAATTCCAGACCGAATTTACCAGATCAAAGAAGCTAGGATGCTCTACCCAGAAATTTTGAAACCTGAAGACATGAGCTTTGGGAATAGAAGTCCCAATTTGAATCTTGCAAGGAATGTGGTCAGAGGTGGGTCTAGCCATTGGAAGAAGCAAAGTGTTAGGGAAGTCACTTGTCTAGTTGGAGGTTGTGAACACCCAGTCTATTTGCTCAAGGAGGGGAGCACTTTGCATATTGCTCTAGGTAAAGTTTCTTCCTTTGAGGGGGATCTCAAGCAGACCCAAGTTACTTATGATTTCATTGAAGATCATCATGTCATTCATATTAGCACCATCTCTATTTCTATCAGATATAGATCTGTAGAAGTTGAAATCCCCAGCAAACATCCAATTCTCCTCTGCATTGATGTCAAGATTGTTGAGCTAGTGCACAAAATTATCCCTTTCTGGGCCTTGGCAAGGGCCGTATACGGACGATAATGTCCAGGTTTGTCTATTGTGAGAAGAGGTGAATTTGACTGTTACTGTGAATTTGTTTATTTGGATTACCTCTCCTGTGAAAATAGCACTATTCCATCCCATCAGAATTCCCCCAGAAGCACCCTCAGAAGGGGAAAAAGCAAATTTGTTGAAGCACTTTGGAGCTAGTTTTCTAATGAAGGAATGATCAAACTGTTCTCTTTTTGTTTCTTGGATGCAGAAAATGGCACAATCACTCTCATCTATCTTTTCTCTGATGGCATTGCATTTATCTTCAGAGTTTATTCCTCTGATGTTCCAGTTCAAGATGTTCCAATTTCTCTTTGGAACCACTATTGTTATTCTTATTGGGCCTTGTATCCATAAGCAATGTATTGAAATTGCCTCAGAACTCGACTAAACCCGATCGGTGAAAATCCAAAACCAGCACTCAAACAGTTGCTCTCCAATGGGTGCAAAACCCCAACAGCAAGCCAAACCAGCACCACAAGCAACAGAAGGGAAGCAAAGATGTCCACAGAGAAACTGTTTTTTTTACCACAAGTCTTAATCAAACAAAATCCGAAGACAACAATAGAGAAGATAGCACTTCTCAAGGTATTCTGACCATAAAACCAATCCAATGTTCCATTACCGCAGGATGTTGCAGGGCAATCCCTGACAAAATAAAAGTAGATAAGCAGACTATCCATTGATAACTAGTTGGGTCCCCCTTGTGCTGCTCCCATCCGGTGCAACATCATCAGTTCTGGTAGCCAAAAGCAGTTCCGTCGTCACCTCTGAGGGGTGAATGCAACACCTTTCTGTAGCTATTCTCTGTATATCATTGCATTTAAGAACAGCAGAGAGTCCCGGAAAATCAGAGGCAAAGCAATTTGGTGGGGGAGAGAGATTATCCAACAAGTCAGATTGAGGGGGCCACCTTCTTGCCTCTTGCCTTGCTCTTGTTCTTGTTAGTCTTTCTAGCTGTAGTGGGGACAACTCTATGCATATGTCCATCGTGAGCAACTTTTAGTCTTGGGCTCCTCCTAAGAAACTCAGTTGAGACGGAGTGCTTTGAGCTTTCTTTTCTTTGTGGCTTTGCTTGAACTTTCATCTCCATTCCCACTACCGTGTAGCA